AGGTCGTTATTATATATTTAAGTGCAAGTTACAAAACATTATGCCAAACATTGTAGGTTTCAAATCCTGTGTAAAACAAACCATTGATCTGGAAAGTATCATTGCGAAAGCTCAGAACAGAAGAACAAAGTTTCTAAAGAAGTGGGGGCCTTTTATTGAATATTATGATCTGTAAATGTTTTTCTGTTTTTCTGTTATTATGGTTTTGTCTGTAATTTGTAATTTTTGCATAATGAATAAAAAAAAAAAAAAAAAAAAAAAAAAAAAAATTGGTATCTTGGTATTATTTATTTAAAATTATACTCTAATATTTGGTTTAGCTGTAGAAAGTCGTTTTTAATGCTTGCTTCTATTTAGTATGTACAATTTCTGGTTGGATTATTTCTGCCAACTTACTGTTGCGCCTTGATCAGTATACAAGTTTCTCGTGGAAAACTGAGATGCGTCCGAAGTGAAAGTCTGATGTCTACCTGTACTTTATTTGAAATGTTTATACAAAAAGTGCTTGTGGTGGTTCAAGACGACTGAATTGTATCAGATGGTCACACTTAGTGAAACGCTTGGTTCCTGTCTGGGGAAAGAAACTCTCAGCAGAACGGCGGGTTGCCACTTCGGAAAATTCCAAGATGGCAACATACCAGTGATGTAATAATCTAAGGACTGACAACTCGGCGGCAAATAGGGAGCCAGCATCAGCAGTGGTCAATCGTATGTATCAATAAAACCTCTGTTCTATGAAGTAACATTAAAGTGCATCGGACATTGCATCCAGTGATTGCAACAATATGTTAATGCCTATATCAATTTTAGTCACATACTGATTTAACTTTGGGTAGTCTCTATCCGTTGATTCTGTGAAATCCACATCTATTATGCTCATCAGCAGTGTTGTAGAACTATATATTACATCTGTGAACTTATTATCACGCCGATTACTGTTAAAGACTATTGCTGAGCAATACTGTGGGTGTATTATTGTCACTGAATTGTCTTGTGGTTAGAGCTTAGTGTGAATGATGTAAGCGTATTATTGTCACACTACTGTTAAATATTATTGTTGTAACTTCATTTGAGTATTGAATAGTTAATGTTGTCTTTAAACAGATACCTGTGTCAGTGTGTTTGTTGTTCACCCCTATAAGACTGTTACTTGTACCACAAAATTGCGTGGTCAACTCGTTAGGAAACTGTATTTATTTTGTGTATGGATCGACTCGTGCCGGGAGAGTCCAGGCTTACACAAGTCTTCCAGGTTCAACGTCAAACCAGTATTCAAGACGTGCAAGAAACTGTATTGCAAGTCTTCCAGGTTCAACATCAAATCACTATTCAAGATGTACAAGAACCTGTATTGCAAGTCTTCCAGGTTCAACGTTGAACCATTATTCAAGACGTACAAGAAACTGTATTGCAAGTCTTCCAGGTTCAACATCAAATCACTATTCAAGATGTACAAGAACCTGTATTGCAAGTCTTCCAGGTTCAACGTTGAACCATTATTCAAGACGTACAAGAGACTGTATTGCAAGTCTGCTAGCTCAATGTCAAACCATTATTCAAGACGTACAAGAGACTGTATTGCAAGTCTGCTAGCTCAATGTCAAACCATTATTCAAGACGTACAAGAGACTGTATTGCAAGTCTGCTAGCTCAATGTCAAACCATTATTCAAGACGTACAAGAGACTGTATTGCAAGTCTGCTAGCTCAATGTCAAACCATTATTCACGACGCCTAAGAACTGGTTAAATCTACCATATATTAGTACAAGATTACCTTGATGCTTGACATTCGATATTACGTGGATATTGCTTGGTGACTCCTTCGTTAGATTTATTACCTGCTCAATGCTCAACTTCTTGTATTGTTCGACACTTCTGACTCGCCAAATTGTGTGGTCAACTAGTTCGGAAACTGTATTTATTTTGTGTATGGATCGACTCATGCGGGGAGACGCAGTGTCCCGAAATACGTGCCAACTCACCGACCATTGATACGTTGTTCAGCAGCATAGTTGCAAGGCCAACATGCACAAACTGGTCTAAAGCTTAATATTTATTGTTGCATATAGGTAAGTGTATTTATAAGTACAAGTGTTTGGAATATCCTAAATAGTACAATGTTGTAAGTTATTGATAATGCAAGTTTCGCGGTGTTTCTCCTTCTCGATGGCGCCTAACTGCGATAGTTGTTGCATTATATCATCCAATGTTTGCATTTCTTAGTAAGGAAGTGTTGCTAGTTTGTATTGTGAAAGGTGTATGTCGTATAAAAGAACCTATTCAGAGATTGTGAGGCTTATCGGTGTAGCTGGCTGGTACCAGTTTATAACTGAAACTAAAATATAACTATGTTTAATTTATTTTATAGTAGTAACACAACAGCTTACCAGCAGTTTATTGTAACATATTTTCTTGTAAAATTACTTTTCCTTATCGTACGATATTTCAGTGTCATGGCAAAAATGATAGTGGATTTAGTATAATAATTGTGAATTGACCAGTTTCATTCATAGAACAAATAACATTAAGCATCTTTATCTACAAAAATCTAAACTGCTTTATTGAGCATAGTTGCACATGGTGTTATATATGTTAATTATACCGGTAAGTAAATTTAAATAATTGTATCCATCTTTGAACACAATAAAGGATGGGAAAATGCTTCCTAATTTGGACAGGATTTTTTCATGGACTCCAATGAATATTGCAAACTCTTTGCTGAGCAACAATGGTAAACATCAGGTTATATGGCAACTAATGTTACGCTACACATATGAACAGATATAAATATATACATCAATGAAGACACTAAATTACAAAATGCATGGATATAATATACAAGTTAAGGGATATGTAATGTTGATATGTATTGTATATTTAAAAATATAATAATGGAGACTACTTAGGTAGATGGTATTAACTACCCTGCCAAATTGTGGGTTTAACATACTTCACATTTTTATGACAAGGTATCTAATCAGTCTTTATCAAAAACAAAATTATTTGCCATAATAATAGCAGTATAAAATGATGAAAAATAAACTCATTTCGTGAGTGAATAGTCAAGACTATTGTTATACCACAATAAGTTGGAGAATGAATCTAAACATAGTTAATATTGCACCCACTATTAAGCAAGGAGAAAATTTTAATTATGTTTTGATAAAGAAATGAATCTGCATTTATCATTTTAGATTTATTGAATTTTTGTATGACAACCAGTCCTTTCTTTTTCTCCAACAATGCTATATACATGTAGCTGCTACAGACGTACTTCCAATGATTCCTATTTCTTCATCACTTCTTGTATCTGTGAAAAGATTTCCAGGTCATAATGGAGTAACATTCTATTGACTAGGTCAATGTGAAATCCTCCATGTTGCATGAATTTATAAGTCCGGTTAGATGGGGAAAGTAGCATTCAGAGGTCAAATAATGCATAAGCAGGTTAGAGGATGATATTCTCGGGTATCAAATATTTACATTATTGCAGTAACAAGTGCTAATTTGTTCTTCATTGATTTTTCATATTTTTTTCTAAAAAGCAACATGCAATAAATGCAAAAAGTTGGCGCAAATAATATCTGTCACTGTAGCGCCATAATTTTACAGGGTATTTTTAGCCTACCATATTAGGAAATCCAAATTCCAAATATGGAATAAAACCAAACATGGCTGCCACCAGACTCAACACAAAGAAGTTTGCTGAATCTGTTCTAAACATTTTGGATTTCAGCATTTCTCTGATACTCTTGCTGTACCGACTTCGTGCATATTATACACTATATTTGGTTCGAAAGAGATGCATGAGAAAACTAATTTTGCAGAATTACAATTGCCAGCTGCAGTGGCTCGCATAAACCGAAAAATCATCAATCTCCAAAATATGATGGTGTATGGCAGTAATCGGTACGTGCTGCTAACGCACAACTACACGTACCTCAATCAAAATATGAATCACCAGTAGTTGTATAAATAATCACAAGCTGTATCTCATAGGTGGTTTTAAGTTATTTCCATGTCTCAAACTTGCATTTTACCACCACCGTAGTCGTGTATGCCACTCGTGGATAGTGTTATTAATTGTGCAATGTCTTGTGATATACCTGACTGTGACACTGGTTTATTTCTTAACCCTCTGAGCATCAAAGCCAACTTCAGGCACCATCCACAAAATAGTTCCATTTATAGTCTACTTTTCCCACATAAAATGTTGTAAAAATTTCAAATTTGTTGATCAAAAAGCTAAAGATAATGACACATTTTGTTTGGTTGATATTTAAAACTGAATTCAGTGAAAATTTACAGAAACAGATTACAAAAAGGGAAACGAATTTAGTGCTCAAGGGTTAATTACAAGTCAATAATGACAACAGATGAAAACTTGTATTCTCACCTAAGAATCGAACCGTACTCCACCAGGTGTTGTTACATCAACATGTACATCACCTTGAGTTGGTAGCTGCTTTGGAGTAGAATTCCCAGAAGAACCCGATGTGGATGGCTGCGGTTCTTTCTCTTCTTGGTACGCGTAATTGTAATGATAAATTTGTTTGTCGACAGCTGCCTGTGACTGGGGTTCAGATTCTAGCTCACCAGGTTTTTTAAAGTCTTCCACTTCATCGTATATAGCATTGTCATACATAATATGAGTTTTATACTCTGGGGGTGGTTCACTCGGGTACAGTGGACCACGTTTCTTTTTCAGGTGTCTGAAATGATCCAAATAATAGTTATGAATCTAAACATTACTGAAATATTGCTCGTTTAAATTTATGAACTAAAATTATAATTTACCATACATCTATTAAATATTCACAGACAAACCAAACTACTCACCTGACTGTCAGGAAGTATGCTATACTAATAAGGACAATGACTGCAGTCAACGATCCACCAACAATACCAGCTAACTGTTTCTTGTTTGTAATGGATCGACCACCTGTAGTGTTAATATAACATCTTAATTTATGGACTGGTCATAACTTAACACATAAACACTTCTGCATTGTAATATAATATCGTGTTTAATCCATACTATAGGCCACTGGCCCAAATATACAATAGTAATATCATTTAAAGAACACACTATATACACAGGACAAAATAATTAATATACTCTGAGAAGCGCGTCTCGTTTCTTAAACGCAAGGTGAACAAATTTATAGCTGTATTACGTACAGTGGAAACTTTGGTACAACTCATGAGTTAGATAAATTCACCAGGATAACAATCAGTAAGATAATATAATGGGATATACAAGGTGTGACAACTGGGACTTTTGCATTATTGTTGGTTGCACCTTCTAGCAATAAAGTGCTTTCATGATATCTAAATATCAATTCTGCAACTCTGACAATGATTTTCATTTAACCTTCCAAAGCGTCTTCATACTGTGTAATGTACTCACCAAATTTCTTTGCCTCCAAATGACATCTATCCCCGGTCCACTCTGATTCACAGCTACATGCGGGATAGCCGCGACTATCAATGCTACAAACACCTTCATTCTCACAGTAGTTGTTGCAAAGTTCTGAAAAACACATTATACCAGGTAATCATAATAATATGAGAATACTGCAAAGTATAGATAGTACGTGGTCGCATCGACCTCCACTGCACTCTTGTAATAACCTTATTATTATTATATATCTTTTCCTCCCCGGGATGCATCATGGGAATGCCAAAATCCAAACATTTTCGAACAGATTTAGCGATCTTCTTTTTGTGGGACCCGGTCAAACCATGGGGGCAGCCATGTTTGTTTTTATTAGTAGAAGACGCTTACACGCGTAAACATTCCTAATATGGTAGGATGAAATGCTCAGTGCAATACCACAAAATTACACCACGCTTTAACTTATCTCGTTATGGTGAGAGATGTAGAATAATAAATTCATTTCATCCTTAGAAATAGTTTTCATTGGTTGACAACAATACAAAATATTTTTGATTTCAAATAATTTAAATAAATATTCAACAGCTTGGCTTATTATCTTGAATTCATAATATATTTGAATATCTAAACATCACTTTTTAATTCTTCCAGAATATTAATATTACCAATAAAAAAAACTTTGTCTTTCTGTTTGGTACCTAAGACATTACATTTTTCAGACATTTCAATCTTAAAATTTAGGTTTTCAAGAGTATGATGTTTATTGTGGCTAAGTGTGAATGGGTCAACTTTGTTTAGACAATGAGCTGTTGATCATCTTTCGAAAACAACTAATTTCTTGATTTAAAAAAATCATGCCGTTTCCCTATCAAAATCAGACATTGATTGCACTACAACATCAGTAAATCTCTTCTGTGTTGCATTCACCATGAAGTTGTTGAACTGTCATTAACATATTTAAATGAGCTTTGGCAATTCAAACACTTTGGCACCATCCAGCATTTTGATTAGTTTATTAGCGACTTGACCTGTCAGGTCAAAGAACAGTTTCAGGTCAACTCGTTTCTGAAAAAACATGGCAGATATCGTATCGCATTGAGAATTGACATGTGGCCGAAATCATTCGCTTACGATGAAACTAAGTTGAATTTTAATTGCATTTCATAACAACTCAACAAATTTATTTTTTGTACATTAATATAATCACTACTGAGTACCAATGAACAAGTAAGTTATTCACTTGTGAAACGCAGCATGACCAGATTGGGCTACGATACCTAAGCAATGCATTCGTGTTTATTTTATTTGAAACATTTTTTTAGAATATACTTTTCATTACTACAAAATGAAATAAAAAAAATATACTGAAAGTTTTTTTTATTATCAAGTGAACAGTTTTTTTGATTGACTAATTTTTCAACATTTTGTGACGCCTATTTTTGAACCAAATTAAAGCCTTTCATTTTCCCTCACTCCTAAATTAGTGTAACATCTACTGGTAATCATAAGATTCTACGGTACAATAAATACAAGTTCTTACCAGCAACTTGACATCTGTCTCCGCTAGCACCATTTATACATTCACAGACTGGTTCACCCAATCTATCAACACTACATGTACCATCATTCCCACAGTAGTTGTTTTCACATGGATCTGTAAACATACAATGCATTTTAATCAATGGGTTTTAGATTATTTGATAGAGGTATTTTGCTACCATTTAAAAAACATACTCAGAACTCTCAAAATCCACCAGAAGAGGCTGGGTTACTGTAACATTCAGTTTAAAATTCTGAAATAAAAATATATGGTCACTAAACAAAATGACCTTTAAAATTGATCAAAAATGCACGTTTTGACTTGTTTACAATTGGTTTCTATGACAGAAACATTCCATCATATCACAAAATTTTGTTCGGTGACCTATGCTAAAAAATGATATGTATGTAGTGTTATGAGGGCTACCTATAGATGTCACGAAAAATTGAAGAATTTTGAATACTCGTATAAGTTATGCATAGTATAATATGTTTACATGAACTTATATGGGAAATGTTCAAAAATGGTTGTTTTTTAGATTATTTTGCAGAATTAGGTTTACTTGAAAATACTTTGAATGTGAAGTATTAAACAAATTGTTTTTAATGATTTTCTATAGTAGCAAACTACTATAATCCTGGACTACTCTGAGCACTATATTGATCTTGTATAAGCAGGTGTTTGGTACACTTCTGATTATTTAAAATATACTATGGTATATCAACTTTAGTTTTTGTACTAAACATGATTTTTTATTGTAGGCATCAAAGTTGCCTTAAAAAGTTTGCAAAAACATTGTGGAATGATGTCTATTCACCTTAAGAAAAACTGAAGCAAAAGATCTCATGAATAACTGTTCATGAAATCACCCCCCCCCCCCCCCAATTTAGTTGCATGCATATAACCCTTAGTAGCAATGCAATGAAAACTACTGCATGATTTGTGTCAACGTACCTGGATTGCACTGCACTCCTTCTTCACATACTGCAAAGAAACACAAACAATTAAATTCACAATTAGAGCCACACAAATTTTGAAACACTCTGAGTGGACATTTGAATTTGAGAGACGCTGGAATGATTCTCCCTATGGGAGTTGGTCAGAATGATGTCCAGTTTTCACAGTAAAACAAAATGACAAAAAACAGATTCTTAAAGAAAAGTTAAATGAAATAAAAAAAAAAAAAAATTATACACAAAAGCAAACATAATAAAACGGATTTTAATCAGATTGATATAAACCCATATATTTGTATATGGTACTTACTGTAACACTGTTCTTCTCTGACGCTACCAACGGTACTGGTGGTGTAATGAGGTGGACACTTGTAACAGTAAGATGCACCAAGACGTGACTGATATTCACCAATAGGACATGGTTCACAATTATCACTAGGTCGTTTTTTGTAACTACCACTGTTACACTCAACTGCAATTGAATGACATTATTAAATAGTTAAAATATGAATGTTACAGGGCAGTGAGAGAGTTATTTCTTCTAGGGGGGGGCACATTGATGTTGTTCTATTTTGGGGATGAATACTGTAAAACCATTTACTTTCACTGGTTTAGTATTTTGAGCATATTCATTTGATTTTAAGTGTACTTTTCAGATATGGTTCCTTCGACATATTTAGGAATCAGGGAAATCCAGTATTTATTTCATCCAACATTACGCTTTTATCGATATTTAATCAACCATTTTTCACTTAATTTCTGACAACATTTTATTTTTCAACAGGAAAACCATCCACTTTATAATTTTGTTTTCACTTATTGAGATCACAGACACATGAGTGGTCAAAATGGTGGTTGGGTGAAAAATTCGGTGAGAATAATTATTAAATTCTGAATGATCTGGTAAATAATATTATATTCTAATTGTTTTTAATGTAACGGAGATGAAATTCTTAACAATGTAAAGCGTTAAAACTGACACACGTACCAACATTGCATTCATCAGCTGAAACAGCACCGGTCACAGAGGTTGTAAATCCATATGGACACCGTGCACAAGATGTTACACCCTGTAAACCATAGGTACCAACAGGACATGGTTCACAGTTACCACTCACTCCAAGTTGTTTACCAGCTTGCATGCACTTCACTGAAAAATAACATTAGGCAGTATGTATTGAATTTGGTTGTCATAATTGCATGAGTTGTATACTAAATCATAAAAATATGATTTATTTTGCCCATAGAAATACCTCTAATGTACATGTACGCTACGCAGGTGTATGTGCTACTAAATCAAGCAAACACAGTATTATACATTATTATAATTGTAGATTACTTACCTTCACAATCATCAAGAGATATACTAGCGGCATTGGCAGTGGACATCCCACTAGGGCACGCTTTACATGAGAATTTAGCGGGTTCATCTTGGTACATACCAATCTGACAAGGCTGACAGCGGCCATCTTTATTAGCATAGCCAACATTGCAGCTAACTGAAATGAACATGTACGCAAGACTAATATTAACAAGCATTGATAATGCATCGTCACAGTTCAGTATTAGCTGTGTCGATGTAAATGTTCAGTACAAGTGACATGTAGAAATGAAAAATCAATGTTTTTTTATCACTAACACAGATTATAGATTGTGTTACTGTCAGTATAGTACATTATGTGGAAACTGAATTGGAATATATCTTACAGAGGAAATAGCATGAAAGAAAAACGCAGCCAGTTGGGTATTGTTGTTCAAGTATCTCCAAAAGAAACCTAATATGCATGATCACCATACAAAGTTGGATTGAAATCGCCCTGTTCATCTCCAAGAAACTGTTCCAGACATTTTACAGATGATATTTTACGTTTTTTCGACAAATTTTATCATATTTCAAGACAAAACATGTTGTTGTGTTACCTGCAGTATACTACCTATGTATAAACTTTCAAGTGAATCAGGCCATATCTTTCAGAGGAATCGGCACAAAAAGGAAAAAAACAAAATGGCTGCCAGTCGGCCATTTTGGTCCAAATTTTGAAAAAAAATATGACGTACATGTGTAACCTAATATACATGATCATCATACAAAGTTTGATTGAAATCGCCCTATTCAGCCCTGAGAAACAGTTTCGGACTGTGATTTTAAGATATTAAACAAAATGGCCGCCATTTCGACAAATTTGATCAGTATACATTATATTTTTCAGTTTTACCTATCAATGTTAATATCATTAAACATGTAGAATATATCATTGTTATTGCATCAATTCTAACTGAGTCATGGTTTATTAATGCTCACCAAGACATTCACTCGCTGATGTGGCTCCTTTCCCAGCTGTAGTCTTCTGTTCACCACATTGGTTACAAGAAACTTTGCCTTCTTCACTTTGGTAGCTACCTTTTGGACATTTCTGACACTCATCTTCTGTCACATTGTGAAACTCTCCCTCAGCACAATACACTGTTATAATAAAAAAAAAATTCCATTTCACTCCACTACACATGGCATACATGTATCATGATTCTCGAGTTCAAGTTTTGTATATTAAGAATTTACAAATAACTTTCATTAATCTTGGCGGTAGATTTGAATGTACAACATAGACACAGTCCATGTTACTGCCGACAGTGTAGCCATACAATTGCAACCACTGCACGTGTTACATAACCACACCCTTCAGGTAGAAACACTAGAACTTCATGGTTATATTAAATTGGGTAATTCATGAACCAATATATTAGGAATATCAGATGCTCAGATTCATCAGGTGGTTATGCCAACATACTTACCACAACTTTCACCATTTAATATTCGACCTTCTGGACAGGAGAAACTTGTTGTAGAATCAATAGTGTTTGGATCAGCTGTAAATCCAGGGGCATTAAGATCACCATTAAATGCTGCAGTCTCCAAGGTATTATCTATGCTGCTTCCATCATTTGCAGATGTACTACAAAAAAAGATATAAATATATCAGTTTGCAATTTCCTTTTTAAGTTAAGTTCACAAAAATATTGTCATTGATAATATATGATTTGCAAGATACAGTGCTGGTCAGGTTTTCCTTGTAATGATGACTGTCTTGCAACTAAATATGATGTTTAACTTATTTACATGTATGTCAAATCTAGTGTTGTGATTAAATTTCCAAATTCATGAATGATATGTATTTCTTGCGACACTGTGTGATTAGAGTGTTATGGTAAACTAGCTCACAGCATACATACCTGGAATTGAAAGCAAATGCTATTTCTGCTGATGTCTGATCCGCTTGACGTTTGCGTCTGTTTGATACCTCATCACAGGTAATTACAGTATTGGTGAAATCACAGCCAGTGCCACCACAGATACCATACATTGTATCAGCAAAGGTCATGCGGTCAATGAATGCTTGCCGAAGCAAACTATTTGGTTCTTCCAAACCATAAGGATCTTCAGGGTTACAGTCACTCACTGTATACATGATGCTTCCTTCACATAGAGCATCTGCAGGGTCAGTTCCTATTAAAACATTTTATTTAGCATTAATAAAATATCTGGAGCTTGCATTGTGAGTTAATTCACTCCAATTACCGGTAATATATACCGAAACAATTAATGTAGGTTTTTGTTTTAAAATTCAAACAAAATGGCCACTAGTTGGCCATTTTGAATCAAATTGCAAAAATAACTAGCATCAGTAACTCACCAGAAATGTCAATATATCTAAGTTTGAAAGAAATTAATCCAGGCATGTCTGATAAACAGTTGATGACATGTTCAAATGTTGATTTTGGGTGCTTTTTAAAACTGAAATGGCCACCAGCCAGTCAAAGTATGACCTGCCTTTGGATCAATGCACAAAATCGATTCAAACATGTCCGAGAAATGATGTTGATAAAAGACAGCATGAACTCAACCCACAACAAAAGTTCAACTACTATATTTTTGCATACAATTATTATACATATAGTGCTATAATAATACATACTTGAACATCCAGGGAAGACAAATGGTTCATCAGGATTGGCTGGATCCCAAGATCCGTCGTTTCCACATACATAAAATGGTTTTGGTAATTCACTGAATTCATGTCCAGCATTGCAGGCAATATTACAAAAATGACCACTGTGCCACATGTCACAGGTCTTGCTACCTTTAATTGGTGGTGCTGGGTCTTCACAGTCAAATGCTGAAAAATACAAATTTGAATGAAACCATAACAGATTTGAACACATCCACTACATGTTTTAACACATATGTAACAGTTGAATGTGTCCATAAAAACATTTGAATGAATTTGTAACACATTTGAACACATACGTGACAGTTGAATGTCTCCATAAAAACATTTGAATGAATTTGTGACACATTTGAACACATCCACTACATGTTTGAACACATACGTGACAGTTGAATGTCTCCATAAAAACATTTGAATGAATTTGTGACACATTTGAACACATCCACTACATGTTTGAACACATACATGACAGTTGAATGTCTCCATAAAAACATTTGAATGAATTTGTGACACATTTGAACACATCCATTACATGTTTGAACACATACGTGACAGTTGAATGTCTCCATAAAAACATTTGAATGAATTTGTGACACATTTGAACACATCCACTACATGTTTGAACACATACATGACAGTTGAATGTCTCCATAAAAACATTTGAATGAATTTGTGACACATTTGAACACATCCACTACATGTTTGAACACATACATGACAGTTGAATGTCTCCATAAAAACATTTGAATGAATTTGTGACACATTTGAACACATCCATTACATGTTTGAACACATACGTGACAGTTGAATGTCTCCATAAAAACATTTGAATGAATTTGTGACACATTTGAACACATCCACTACATGTTTGAACACATACATGACAGTTGAATGTCTCCATAAAAATATTTGAATGAATTTGTGACACATTTGAACACATCCACTACATGTTTGAACACATACATGACAGTTGAATGTCTCCATAAAAACATTTGAATGAATTTGTAACACATTTGAACACATCCACTACATGTTTGAACACATACATGACAGTTGAATGTCTCCATAAAAACATTTGAACACATCCACTACATGTTTGAACACATACATGACAGTTGAATGTCTCCATAAAAACATTTGAACACATCCACTACATGTTTGAACACATCCATGACAGTTGAATGTCTCCATAAAAACATTTGAACACATCCACTACATGTTTGAACACATACATGACAGTTGAATGTCTCCATAAAAACATTTGAACACATCCACTACATGTTTGAACACATACATGACAGTTGAATGCATTTGTAACACATTCAAACACTGTTCATTTACAGCAAGTTTTGTTCAGTCTAAAGTATAATTCAAGAGAAAAATAAAACTTACGAATAATATAGAGAGAGAATCCACATACTGCAGAGTTTCCTGCTTCATCAGTAGCAATACAATTTACGTAGTAAACACCCCATGCTAAAGTGGTTCCACGAACAATGGAACATGTCATATCAGCAACACCAACGTTATCAAGGAAAGATGGCTCCTCATAGTCACATGGTACAAGGTGGTTTTCTGGATCAACAATTCGAACAACATCTGGGCATTCAATAACTTCTGGTGGTTCTTTGTCTGAGTTAGAAAACAGAGGAGGTGCTAATACGTCTCAGGAAAGTTTGATGGGTGTGTTTAACACAGACTATCTGGGCAGGAAAGTGTGTTTGAGTAGTTATATACCCTACCTGTGCAGGCACATCCTCTATAAATGTCATCAGCTGGACAGGAACTGTCACCACAGATAGAAGGTCTAATAACGTGTGAACAGCCAACCAACAGATAAGAACAATATACCCAGTCTACAATATCTCCAAGTTCATCTCGCTTGGAGCAGTCATTGGATGCATTGTATATCTCCTCAGCTGACCACTCACGGCTGTACATATTGAACTGACTGATTTCACCGTGGAATGCCTTCGTGTTAGTAGTTGATTCATATGGTCGTCCAAAGAAGATCTTCAACCTGTAAATAAAGTCATGGATGGAATGCAAAGAATTGGATTTCATTGATCAGAATTGATTTAAAGTAGACAGCAGAAACGTCAAAAGATGCAATGGAATAAAGTGCAGGATAGTTTGGATTAAATGTTCTTACCATGTTGGAGTGGTGACTCCAGTATCCACATTTTCTCTACTCAGTACCTCAGATCCATCAATGTACCAATGCAGATCACCACTGGCGGAACTCCAAGACATAGCTACATGGTGCCATTTGGTATCTTCCAGTATTTTAAATGAACTGCTTGTCGGTATTTCATGTCGCACATTATAGTCACTCCTGTGAATTAGACAAGCAGAACATATTACACATAAAAATACTAGTCTAATTATTTTAGTGTTGTCATTATTCTATTAAACAAAGTTTAACTCAGGTTGCCTTGTAGGCACCCTAACTTACATATCAGCATTCTCTGACTCCAAAAGTTGGAATGGAGTGGCATTTGAGTTCTCATCTTCACAAGCATATCGGATCCAAAACATGTATGTATAAACTGTGGCAGAAAATGGTAAAGTAGGGGACTGTGCGCTGGCTCTGTCTTCCATGCAGAAATACAAATCAAAGTTAGGGAGCTTTCCTGTAAATAAAAACAACATCAATTGATTCCAATATGCAAATTTGTTTCTATATGATGTGTACAAATACATTCACTTGTTTGTTTGTTTACACAATGTTTGAAAATAGGCAGCGAAACAATGTACTGTGCCGATTTTTAGTCAAATATATTTTTTATTTTTGACACACATTTTCACGATTTCATTATTTAAAAGTATTCAATGTCGTTAAAACAGTCAAATCTACCAGGTGTCTGTCATGTTCGTGTTGACATTACATAAATTAATGACAAAGAAAACAATGACTCACGCTTTTCACAGTTAAAGCCTTCATAGAATGGAGGGCATTCACAACGGTATCCGTTCACAAGATCTACGCAAGTTGCGTCATTCTCACACGGCCCTTCCTCACAATCATCAATATTAGTCTCGCACTGCAATCCAGTAAAGCCATCTGGACAATCACAGAAGTAACCGCCATAACTGTTATAACATGTACCTCCATTCTGACATAAATCATCTTGTAGACACTCATTAACGTCCTCACCACATGTCGGACCACTGTAGCCTGCAATGAACAACAACTCAAGTACTAAATATGCAAAAATATATCAACACTCATCGGTCAAATGCATGGTTCTATTTATTTAATTATTATTATTATATACCATGAAGTCGTATATATAAACAGAGCTGTTGAGTTTCAATATTCATGTAGTTGCGTATTAATTCCTCTATCACCGTATTCACCCGCTCTACATAAACTTTGTATTGAGAACTTTTGTTTTGGAATAATCGACTTTCATATCCACACTATATATATATATATATATATATATTTATATATATATATATATATACCATAGCATTATATTTATATATCAACGCACCATGTTTATATACTATGATGTTAAATATATACCATGGTGTCTATTCATATTCAATGGTATCATATTTTTAAAAAAGGTGCCAATTTGAAAATACAAAATTTATTATAATAGTTATATGCCATGACACAATGTCAAATACAAACAATTATATTTATATACCACGATGTCATACTACATAATACACACATTACATACCAGGTGGACATTCACATCTAAATGACATGTGTTCATCATGACATGTTGCACCATTTTCACATGGATTATCGCTGCAGTCATGATGCTATCTTCACAGTAAGATCCTGTCCATCCTGGAGCACAACTGATGAGAAATAATAAAAACAAATAACTACAGATTAAATACATGTTACATAATCAATACAATTTTAAAGAGAAGTACGGGTACTGTGTGTTGAAGGCATATATAGAAATAGGCAAAATTTATAATTAGCTTTCAAAATAAGTATAATACAGCTCTAATTTGTGAGAAGCACAATGTGAAAGCAATCTCATCCACAGTAGTCTATAGCACTCACAGAAAAACCTTTATTAAACCAAATAGAATAAATGTACAGTAATGATACAATGAATTATTATACATCTGTCACCGTAACGCCATAAGTTACAACGTGTCGTAATTTGGCGGTATTTTACGAGGTATTTTCATCCTACTATATTAGGAGATGCGAATTCCAAATATTGAATGATTACGCGCATAAGCGTCCTCTAATAATAAAAACAAACATGGCTGCCACCAGGCTTTGACCAGACGCCACACAAAGAAGAAACATTTTGGATTTCGGCATTCCCATGGTGTATCCTTGGAAGGAAAAGATGTATAATAATATGGTTAATACGAGACAGTACGCTGCACGTCGGCCGATACTCCAGCTGTACTGTCTTTGTGCATACTTATCCTCGTAATAACCTCATAATATTTTGATTTCCACATTTATATGCATGATTGTTCCTATGGGCAACCATTTGGATATGCGACAAAAACAGAAGTCCAGGACAATTAAACAACTGCTTATTTCAATATCTGTAGATGAACACCACCACCGAAGTAAATCCTACCTGCAGATAAAGCCATTAGATTGAGGAATACATGTACCATCATTATCACAAGGATCAGAAATACACATGTCTTGAAGAGTTTCACAGTTGTCACCAACATATCCAGGTGCACATTCACATTGATAACTGTCTACCAAGTCAATGCAAGTAGCACCATTTATACATGGATCTGATACACAATCATCCATATCCACCTGTAATAGAATTCAGTAAATATGAATGAAAGGCATATACTGGTAGTCAAAATAGGGAATATTTAAATCTTTTAAAAAATAAGCCTGTCTGCTAATATATCTAGATCTGCCTTTTTAGTTGCAGATTGTAAAAGTGATTCATGCCGTAAAATCTGTATTAGAAGCTGCATCTCTAATAGAAGTCGCACCCATTCTTTTTGAATAATTGAGAACCAAACATTCATCATTTCTCATTTGTGTAGATGCTCTAATAGAAGCCACATCCCCTATATTGCATTGTATTTTGATAGAAGCAATGGCTTCTAATACAGACTTTACAGTAGTACATGTGTTGAATTGTTAAAACATAAAACACAAAAATTAAAACAAAACAAAAATGAATTTGATTGTATATTTGCAGTTTTGAAGTCAGATTATCCTAGAAGTGCAATTAAAATCTGATAAATGGTTATTAAGATATCATAAAATTGTCTAGTTTATGCAAATTGGGTTAATTAATATTCATATTTAACCAGAAAAGCTAACATTGATTATTTTATGTAAATTAGGTGATTATTATTCACAGATATCTACCAAACATTAATCAGATCTGCAGATTATCAAAAAGTATGTTTTAAGTTTTAATTGTACGAATCAAATCTACGTCATTATGTCAAATACAAATGTAAGGTATAGAGAAGTTTTTGGTGTAATCAACAACAAAGAGAACACGTTCTGCATGATTTTCTCTCTACCAAGAATGACCTTTTATTACAATTTATAGTAAATTGGTGATGGTGATACTGTGTACATTTTTTGGCAATTTGTTAACATTCTTTAAAAAATAAATGAACACAAGGTAATCATAAAAATATCATGGTTTATATTTATGATAAAATACAAATAGCTGAAAAAATTGTTGCAGCAGAATTTTTTTTATTCAGTAGTCTAAGTGCTGTTTAAATATACTATGTGAACATCTTAAAATGTCACCGCATACATGTTTATTTGGTACCATAAGATAATTTTATCTCAGAATTACATGGAGCTATTTAAAAAAACAAGCATCAAGTTTACATTATTTGGCATCAGAACATACACGCAAGAATCTCCAAACTTACCTCACAATACTTGCCAGTGAATCCAGGCTGACATGTACAAATAATATTCTGACAGGTACATGGATCACCAGGGCTGACTGGATTGTCTGATGGGGCACAGGAGCCATCGTTTTGACAAGGATTGGGATCACATGGGTCTAAATCTTCCAATGAACAATCATCACCTGCCAAGGCACATAAAATGGTTAGATCATATCTCACATGAAATCACACATACATGTAAACTCATTTCACTTGCAGGGTGTTTTATCAAATTACATGCATAATGTCATAGTTTATTAAATTTCTCCATCTTTTGGGCACTCAGAGTTGGTCATGTGATAAAAAAGTTATCACCTGATATCATTTATTCATGGAGCTGGTTGAAACTCATAGCGTCATGTGCTCTGTTATCTTCTTACCTAAGGTCTAAGAAAACTACTAACCCACAACATTACTTAAAGTATTATTTCGACAATTTCAATCTAAATCATTCCTGGAATGAAAGTTCGAGCCCTGTTATGTACAATATTTAGTATGTACAACCTGTTGATTATACAAGGTGGTATGACAAGTCATTTTCTGATCTTTCTCACAATCGATTTCAATTGCCTTCTGTTGCATATAATTCAGTCCAGTAGAAATTTGACACATTATGCTCCAGTAGAGAGTCAAGAGGATTAACTAACTACTGTGGAATACTATATTTTCGCTGGAATTAATTTTCGGTGAAAAGGCTTTTGGGCATTTTTTTTATGGAATTTATTTTCACTGATATATGATGAGTTTAATGTGAAATATAGGAAAAAAAGTATATTTGCTGGATTTTATTTTCACAGAATCATCCCTCCAGCGAAAACAGCGAAAATAAATTTCAAGCGAAAAGTATTCTACAGTATAAACAATTTGAATTCATACCAGTGTATCCATCAGCACAGTCACAATGATAGGAATTATCACCATCAATACAAGTGCCACCATTATAACATTCTACATCAGCGCAATCATCATCATCACGTTGACACCTTTTACCCGAATAGCCCACTGGACAGTGACATGTGAATGTATTGATACCGTCTTCGCATGTGCCGCCATGGCGACACGGGTTGGGATCACAATCATCTGTAATCAAATTGAGGCAAATTTTATAATACATAATTTTCAAAATCATATCTACATGTATAACACATATGAAAAGAAAAATATGACCAAATTTAAATCAATACATATAATTTTCAAAACATATAAGTTTAGAAAATCAGCGAACTTCTTTGTATGGAGTCCGGTCAAATCTTGGTGGCAGCCATGTTTGTTTTTATTATTATAGGACGCTTACGCGCGTAATTATTCCATATTTGGAATTCGCATTTCCTAATATGGTAGTATGAAAATACCCCGTAAAATACCGCAAAATTACGGCACGCTGTAACTTATGGCGTTACGGTGACAGATGTATAATAATAATCTTTATTGCATACTCGTATCTTTATTTGGATATTGTGCTACTGTCATAAAGAATATTTTATGTGTATAACAAGAAAAGAAACACGGGGTCTTTCTGCCTACAGAATGAGTGAGCAGGTGACAAACCTGCAATCACCTTGACTGTAAGCAAATAATGTTTATTATTATGCAATGAATTATTCCTTTGAAATTTGTTTAGTCTATTTTTTCTCAGCTAAACATAGTTTTTAGAAAAAAAAACTAATTTGCTCTATTAGAATCTCACATTGGTTGTATACTAAGTCATTAAAACCTGACTTATTCTAACCATGTATACGCTACAACCAATTAAAGGGGTGATCTCATATTCAAACATGCGGGTCAAACCTACGAAAACCCAAACCGCCCTAAACCGCCCGAACAAAACCCAGTTTTGCGGTTGGAAGTTTAACATAGAC